CGGGACCACAGCCAAGCGAAACGTGAAAATAGTGACGCCGGCATCTTTACTGCGAGTGTTCATTTTTCTTGCCTGCTGAAAATATATCTGTAAAATTATTATTCCTTTTGTGATTGACATAGCGCAATGCGCTTATGTGTATCCGGTCACTCTTACAAACCACTTTAGGTATTTCTACAAATTAATGTGGTAAATCAAGTCAAGGGTTGAGTACCTAAAGTAGGTAGAAGCTACTCTGAGCCCTGGGTAGAGTGACAAAAACTGGCCAGCAGTTTAAAACCATTGCTTGCGTTGCGTGACACGGTAGCGATCGCGCGCTGCACAGCATGAATAGCAAAACATAGTCTCTGCAACAGAGTGTCTGGAAACGGCCCAGTCCCTAGCGAATATGTTATTGTTCGGAAATTCAGGTCGTCACGTGACATTAAAAGTGCTAGAAGTTGGCTGCCATTACAGAGAATAAATATATTAAGCGATGCTGGAGCAAACTGCTCAATATTTGGGTGCGGCATGTCACGAAAGCCAAAATACGAAGGGATCGGTATTTTTAAAATTCCACCTTCCCATGAAAAAAAAAAAACAACAACAACAACAACAAAAAAAAAAACAAAACAAGGAAAGCTGGAGAAAGGCGTCATTGCATGTTGTAACGAGAGACAGAGTTGTCGACTGTCGACGCAAGTTCCCGAAAACAAATAGAAGAAGGGAGTGTGTTCATTTGCGAAAGGCATTTTACGCCAGAAGACATCGAAATTCGTAAGTTTCAGTCCTTTTCCTATTTATTCTTATATTAGAATAATCTTTCTGGAAGTTTCATATCTGAAATATACGAGGTAGTTGAGTAAAGCGTGTTAATCACTCAGGCTAATAACCAGGCTTGAGGTCATGATGAATATTTTTCTTAGAGTTTTTATGTAGGGTTTTGAATTAATTTAACTAGATTTAACTATATTAAAATATCTTTGCAAATATTTTTAGCGTCCTCAAAGTAGGTTTTTTTTTTTTTTTTTTACTATTATTGAATTATTAGCTTTGAAAAGCCTCTTTGGAGAAAGTCAATGAAGTACACATGTACATACGTACTTTTTTACTGCAGTGCTTTTTAGGTTTTGAATAGATATATGTTTTTTTTGTAACTTTGGTAACTTGTTTTCAGATGAAACAAGGCAAACTCTCCGAACTGGTACAGTTTCCACTCTCAATTTACCAATTAAAAGTCAGGCAAGTAAACAAAGCGACGACGTGCCTCCTCGTGAATATCTCACTCTACATGTTGATGATAAAGCGCTAGCCAAAGCCTACAGTTCCTTCTGGACTAGGTCAACAAAAGAAGATAACAGTTCTATAGCGCTCAGCATGCTTGATGGTATTCACCATCTGCTGACCGTGGTTCAAGCCTGAGGTTTAGTGTGTCAGTATAAAATTATGGTTGGTTTCTTCCTGACAACCACCCAATTTACTTGACGCACAAACGTTCAGTCAGATTTACCACGGCTTTTCCACTGTTGTCACAAGTTCAAGAACTTCAGCTTTGTGCTGGTCTTTCCAAGTTTGATGATAGCAAAATTCAGCATCCTGGGGCGACATATAGGCTCATGCGGCACTCAATATCAAAGATTATTTACCCTTTGGACTTTGAATCATCACCTGCAATCCAGTTTCATTAGTTTGACAATAAAAGTACAATTATTCCCTTGTGTTTTATTTTATTCTGACTCATAACCTTTTCGCTTCATTGTGTATTGATACTGCTAAGATTTTGGTATTGGACTTAAAGGGTTAAACCAAAATTATTAAACCCAACCACAAAAAAAATGTGGTGCATATATTGCCTCAATTCTGCCCATCAGAAAATTGTGAGGGAGTGACTCAAAAAGAGCGAGGAGACTTATTAAAAAATTAAACCCTTTTTATGGCCAATAGCTCGTTTTCATGATCAGGTGGTATCCCTTGACTACAACTACCAGAACTTATAATTTTTTTAAGATTTTCCTTTGTTATTCAAATTTGTAATTACTGTGGGGTTAAATAAATAGCCTTTAATAATAATCATCACAAGAAGGCAAGAAAATTGAAGGATGTCAGGTAGTTGCAGTAAATGATGTCATCTTGGAAAATTTCTATTTGAGCAAACAAATGTATGCTCAATAAAAAGAGCTAATGAGGTGGTGGTGAAAGATTATTTCCTTTGAAAACATTTTGGACGTTTTTTACCTTATTAGTCTCGTGAAAACTTTGAGATGACAGCATTCTTTGCATTAAACCCTCAAAGATACGTTGATGTGAAAAAAATGGTGGAAAATTAACCCTGCACATTTGGATTCGTGGCCCTTTTGATTTCTTTCCTCAAGCCTTTCATCTTGGTTGCCTTTTGCTGAATTTTTTATTTTTGAGCGATGTCTTTTGCATAAGAAAAGGACCGTATTTTGATAAACAGTAATAGGATCTGATCTACGAAAATGTTGGATCTTCCTTTTGTGATCTCACACCCACATTCCTCCACCAACATGCTTCACTTAGATCTTAACACTGGCCTTTGGAGCAGTATGTCAATAACCTTGTGCACACAGATTTTGTGACAGACCTCTTTCCCAGTGTGGACAAAATGTGTCTGTCAGGTATTCCTTAGGGTACCACAAACCTCCCCTATCTTTGCAACTACTAAATGCCGTACCTTAGCAATGGGCTCATCAACATGAAGCGAGTCGAGTAAAGCCATAAAATCCTCTTTTTCTTGGCAAATATTTATTTTCTTAGAAGCCTTTGACTGATTTTTTTCTATAAAAGTTACGCAAGATATATCCTCCAAGGTAGTTAAGAGGACCACGCTCGGCATCTTTCAAAGAAATCTCTACACGACTTTGACTGGAACTTGGTTTTGAAAATGCCAGTAGCTCATCTCCAAGATGTAAAACTATAACTTTGCATAAACTCTCAGGAAAAGTTTTGTTTAAGAGTGTCTCAGCTTGTAATGGCAGAGATGAATAGAATTTTTCATAAAAACTTCCCGGGTCATTCTTGTCAGACATTTAATGCACCCTTTGTATATGACATGAAAATGTGATACTTTGACTTGGGTACAATCTTTAAATGCCTTTTGCATTTCTGTAGGGTAGAATTCATCTTTTGACAGTTCACTCAAGATTTCATGAATCATATTTTTCAACAGTGGTGGTGGAAGCTTTTCTCTTGCCATTTCCTCATAATCTGTTTTGTTACTTTAGTTGACTTCTGGGTGTTTCTTTCTTCGATGAAGTGTTAAACCTCCTGGAGATTTTCATACCTTATCACAATGTCCACACTCGTAAACAGACTCTTCACTTTCTTCAATCTTAACAAAGGAATTGTGGTGTTGAATATAAAAGTTTCATTTTTGTGCTTAGAAAGTTAACTTTAGAAGGCAAAGTGTATTTTATTTCCGTTAGTTAAATTTCATGACGGCATCACTTGTCAACAACTACCAGAATTCACTGTGTATCTGATTATCCTAGGCTTTCTTCTTCACATTTTGCAACCCAAGAGGGGAAATAATTACATTACAGCTGTGAGCAAAGCAAGAAAAAAAGACACATTCTGATAGTTGTAGTCATGTGACACTACAGTGAATCTGTCCTGTTGGACCACAGGCGTTCGAAACACATCAGGTAATGTTGAACATGAAGCTATTTAATTAAAGGGTTTATATGGGAACAGTAAAAATTAGCTTATTGTAAAGAAACGATATAAAATACACTTACTTGAGCTGTATTTAGCGTCCTTTTGTATTTCTGAGGAATTTTGTTTGGGTTTTGCCATTCTGTTTAATTACCTCAGAAATACACAAGGACACAAAATACCACACAAAATACAGCACAAATGAGTTTGAGATGCCCGTGGTTGGACTGCTTTTAGGTTGTACCCAACAATGATACTATACATGTTAGACAATGTTTCTTTGCAAACAAACTAAATTTTAATTTTTTATCTGAGTATGCTTGACTCGCAAGGAATCACACTGAATTACACAGCAAGAATATTTCAAACAAGCGAAAATTTAAACCAGCTTTCCCTCATTTCATGCACAACAGTGGACTGTGAATTCCAGTATAAGACGGTTAAGCTCTACTCTGGAGCCCTCTAAGGCCTGTTGCAAACGTTGTGCTACTGCCGTGCTAAGCTGGCTCGACTGTAGCTCGACTGCAGCACGACACTAGCAAGACTTGGTTTCAGACGTCGAATTTAATTCAGTCGAATAGAACGGCTGTTGCCGAAAACAAAATACAAAAATATAGAAACGGTTTAGCAAACTTTTAAATATATTCTAATGTATTCATAATTTATGAATTGAGTTCGGCACGGCAGTACTCCCCCCGAATTGATTTGGTTTCATACGTCGCGCTACTGCCGTGCTAAAGTAGAATATAATTCGATCAATTTAGTTCGGCACGGCAGTAGCACGACGTTTGAAACGGGCCTAATCTGTGACAATTCCTCAGTACTAACGATTGCAAACTTCCCAGCTCTCGTTCTGAAGGTCGCGCCTCAGTCACGATTCAAAGTAAAAAAAGAAATATTAGCTTAAAAGCGTACATCATTCCAAACAGCATCGAGCTCGTTCTCCACCTCATGAACTGAAACAGTCGATCATATCTAAAGACGAACTTTCATCGTCCACGTCATCGTGTAAAATAGAAATCCAATCTCGGTGCCTTCAGTCTCACAAGCCTCGCAATCTGTCATTTTGGCTTGCAAGCGTGCACCTTGCCAAAAGCCTCAACATATTTGCCATGGACTGGGCCGTTTCCATACACTCCGTTGGAGAGACTATGGCTAAAAGCACGAAACTGCTTCAATTGATCGGAATGACCAAGTTGTCGATCAATGCGTTGCAAGGGAACGGAGGCATGGTTCCCAAGTTCAAGTATTTATTTAAAGGATTGTAAACTTCCTGAACAGAAGGCTACTCTGATGATTCCGTCGGCAAAAATGGACGACCTCACGGACCTCACGGTGAACATGTTATGAAGAAAATATTTAAAACCCGGAAAGGTAAAAAGGCAGAAGACATGAATACGGAATATGTTTTAATGAAAGGTAGGGACAAATCATACTTTTAAAACATTTATTTCCTTTGCTTTTGGAGTTTCAAGACCTCAGCTTGTAGATAAAAAAGAGAAATTCCCAAAGAAGCACACACCAGCTGTCCCAAGGCTTGAGCAAATAAAACTGGTCAGCATCCAATTTGTCAAACTTAACTTTTAAACTGTTTTTTTTTTGTTATTTGTAAGATCGGATAAATGCCAAAATTTAAAGTGATGCAAAGATAGAGTCTTGGTCCAAACTTCTTATTTAAATACACGTAGATGTCTATTCTACTTATTTTATCGTTCTTTTTTGACTCATGTTAAGCCGAGTTTTGGGGAGAAAGTAGCGAGGTGTAAAGTTTCTTGTGCTTGGTTTTCTTGTTTGCTTGGTTTTCTTGTTAACTGAGAATTCATCTTCTTCTAACACGCCTTGGGAGGTTTGATCTGTTCTTAATTTGTTGTTCGCCGGCAATACAAATGTTGGTCATCGTAGATAGTTTGGTCACTTGGAATCTAGTGTTTGTGTTAATTGTATCGGAAAGTCAAGGTGTGAAGTATGAAAGAGGCCATAACCGTGCGTTAGCAAAATAAAGACGATTTAAAGCAAAATAAAGACGATCTATGAAACGCTCACGCTCACGAAATGCTCACCGCTCACGCTCACGTAATTCATTCGTGCTTTAACTTCGCGCGTTAAGCCGTTGCATCTGCCTCTTGGGATTATTTCTTGTTTTTACGCTCGAAAACATCCAAAAAATCTAGCGAGAAAATGCTATTATTTGTTTATGTCCGAAAAGCAGCAATAAGATGCGTATTATTTATAGAACCGGTCCCACTTCCTGTGTCCATTTATAGAAACGAAGAGGTAAGTTACCGAGCAGAATGTTGAACTTAAAATTTTAAACTTTAAACCTTTTACCCTGCATTTTTATCCACAAGTAACAGAAAAAAACCGGTATTTTTAATCCCCAAACATAAAGGAATTATGAAGTCCAATTACATCTAAGTGAAATTTCTCTCTTTCTTTCTTTCTTTTTAAGTGTTAATTGCCCTTGCTTTCTTTATAATCATTTATTAAAATTCTCCTTATGTCGTGTGCCAGCGCCGTGCACTATAACCGCACCTTTGTCCATAATAAATGAAGTGAAACTCTTAACGTTTTGTAACCCATTGGGTCCCATTATTATTCACTCAAAATATTTCGCCATTTCTGACTGAGTCTAATCTCTCGGCTTATTTTTCGAGGTTGCGTAGTACCAAGACTCATAATCTACAAGCCATTTATTTTCTTCATATTTAGGACATAAAGGGGAGCAGGTCATACCCGAATCAAGGCCCTTGTTTTTCGTGGCGTGTACTAAAACCGGAAACAACGAAACGAAATCACCGAAACGAAACGGCCGAAACAAGCGAAATGACCAAAACGACTGAAACAAGTGTAACGGCCGAAAAGACGAACAAAACCACGGACGTGATCAAACAAGCGAAAGTCGGAATATCGAGGAATTGTCCATGTCTCTTGATAGACCACAGGCAGCCCAAGCTCGAAATATCAGCATTGGCGAACATCGACATTGTTGCATAACATTCGAAATATAAGGATTTGTATGGAAAAAAAACCTATAGTTTCCGTAACCTACCAAAATGAAAGGATTTCAATAAAAAACAGTTAACGGTTTTCTCAGCTATTTCAAGGTTTACAAGGTTTACTGTACAACCCATAAAACGGCCATAAATCGGCCCATGGACCACCCAGGAGAGATGTAACACACATTTTATGTAAGGGAAGTTGTTTTTTATTGAAATCCTTTCATTTTCGTGGGTTACGGAAACGATAGGTTTTTTTCACATATAAATCCTTATATTTCGAAATCAATGTTACGCAACAATGCCGATGTTCGCCAATGCTCATATTTCGAGCTTGGGCTATCTCTAGATAGACCTGCCAAGAGCCCGAAACTCAGGCTACTGTTAAATAGATTCGATATTGCAGATTCACTCTGTTGTGTTAATTCATAGATTTTCGCAGTTGTTAAGATGTGAAGTCGCGTTACATTTATAAATACTTGAGTTATCAATTAATGATTTTTAACCTTTAACTACTAGAAGCAACTTCAACTACTCGTCTGACGTTACATATGTGTAACGAATGTGTTTATAAAGGTAGCTTTTTACTTCAGTGTCAGCCACTCTACTTGCAGCACTTCATCGGCCAATGGAAACTACAAGTCTGAAAATTGAACTAGTCTATTTTTTGGGAAATGTGTATTTATTTTTCATACTGACGTCTTCATTGATGTTTCCTTAGTGTCGTAGAGTTGCAAGGTCTCTGCCTCCCAGGCAAACGTTCTTAGTGCTTTCGCACGCGTTCATTCCTCACGAAGGAACGAGTGTCGTAGCCCTAAAACGTCTCTGCTTCCCACGCAGACGTTCTTAGTGCTTCCGCAAGCATTCATTTTCCACGAAGGAAGGAGTGTAGACGCTCTAAACGTCTGTGTGGGAGGATAGCAATAGAGCAATAGGCTAGCAATATACGACCGTTTTGATGGTACATTGTGCTGTAAGCTCTTTATTCAGAGTGATCTCAAAAGAATGATTTTACGGCTACTCGAAGACAAACCCGAATTTTCGACTAAAACTGAACGGAAGAAACACAAGAATACACACAAAAAAAATATTGAAGTCACCTACTTTTTGAGGAGAATATCTGCAGGAAATGAAAAAGGCTGGCTCGGAGGCTTTTAACATCCTCCTCGATCTGCATTATTCTTCACAAGATTCTCAGCCTCATTCAATAAATGTTCGAAAAATCTTACAATATTATCCGAGGTCATCTCCCTACATTACCTAAAAGATCGTTTTAAATATCTTTTCTGTCTGTCGTTGTTGTGTGTTCACTTATTAGCAATGTTTTAATCTTTTTGCATTGGGTACCATTAACATTTTTACCATCCACATTCGACATATTAGTAAGGTCAGTCGATGACCATTGCATGAGGCGGACAAGGATCAGGATGCATTGTTCTGTCACAACATTTACTGGGCCGCTCAAACCATTCACTGCAGTCATCTTCTGTTCTGATTACTAGAATCTTGGAGTTTTGTTAAATCTGCTCGATGACTAACAAAGCTTAACTGGCCGCTGGAAGGCTGCTAACTCATTAGAGGCCTCAATTAGACAACAGAGTTGATGCTAAATTATACCTGCTTTTCTCCTTACGTTATGATACCTCGTCTAAATGTAAAAATCTGTTCCGCACAGCACCTTTTTCAGCAGGAATCCTGGCTAATTTCCTTTCCACAGGGATTTGTCTACCGCCCCGATGAAAATAGTTCAAGATGAGATAACAGTTCACTGTTTGAATTGTTGATGATCTTTAAAGTTAGCCTGTTACAGATGTAGCCAATTTTGCCAAATGGGCGTTTTGGGCGATGCCGAGAACTTTACTGTTTTCCAGTCCCATCAAACGAGGTCTAAATTGATCTGGTAGACGGTCCCTGAATGTTACTTCTTTTGAGTCCTTGGGAATACTGATATTGTGATTGAGCTACATTTCTACCTTTTTGTCCTAATTTTTGTTTCCGTTTTTAAATTTCCAGCTGACCAACTAAAGAGGCATAAAAAGGTTTTTACTGGATGGATAAACCTACAGCTTGCAAAAGTAAGAATAAGGCTAATTTCACGAACATACCCACTATAATTTGGTTAATTTTCCACTTTTTAGTGCTTTGAGCTTATCATCGTCATTGTAATTATAACCATCATGATCTTCGGTTGTCGTCGTCGTTATTGTTGTTGTTATCATCATTATCATTATCAAATGGAACGAGCTAGCAATTTTTATTTATTTAGAACTCAGTAAAGTGGTCTCTAATGAAATGAAAAAAATTTGATCGCTTAAGTTTGACTGATCTGAAATCTTGCCTTTACAGTTTATATTTGATGAATTATTGTACATTTTTATTCTTGAATTTTTTAAAATAAACTGGGCCCGTGGATTACTTGTTAACCAGCTAATCAAGCTAGCGTAAACGCCACGTTAAATAAAGTGTTATCATATCTTACTTTACCTTAACTCGACTCGTGCATATTTTATTAATTAACCCAGTTCTGGGGCATTGTTGTTCTTGCTGTTTCCAACAGGCGAAGCCTCCAGCTAAAGTTACTAATCTGACTAAAGACTTAAGAGATGGGCAAATACTTCTTACTCTTATGGAAGTACTCTTTGGAGTTAAAGTCAGCAGAGCTGAACCAACGTCCAAACGGATCAACCAGATAAAAAACGTCGAAGAGGCCATGAGTATTCTTCTGCAAAACAATACATGTAAACCAGTCTCAGATATAGTAACTACAAAAGGCTACAGAAAGGCAACTACCCTGGTAAGAGGAGAATGTTGCTGCAATTCGTTGCATCCATTTTGGAATCAATGGTGATCCATGCAATCTGATTGGCTTTTAGTAGTGTAATTTACTCTCGAATCATGCTATTTTTTGCTCTAAATCACATTTTCTTCTAAACCGCACAATTCATGTTCAAAATCGAATCATTGTCTTTCAAAATCGCATCATTTTTGTTCTCAATCGCATCATTTTTGCTCTAAATCGCATCATTTCTGTTTTGAATGATAAGTGAGATGTAAACTAAGCGTTCCCGATTCCACTTCTCAACGAACCGGCTACTAGATTAATAAAATATTGGTACCGCTCAATTTTGCGCTCTTAAATTGGTTATAATAAGCGTGATTTTAAACCGAATTCGCGCTGTGCACCAACCACTCGTATGATTTCACACCAAATTGCACTCTGCTCAGTTACAGCAAGTCATCAAATACTCACGTGGCTTAATTATTGCGTTCGCAGAACGCCATCCTAAATTTGTACCCAGAAAAAAATCGAGTTTTTCGCGAAGGACTTCCAAATAGACTGGCCTCTTGAAAGAACGTAGTCGTCCTGGGTACGAACGATATAATACACACGACCTATTTTTCGGCCAATACGAGATGACTGTTGGTCCACGTGACTTGATCAGTAACACACAAAGGAAACTTTCAGAGTGTTTCTTGATCTGTTTGCCTTTTAAGCTCGATTCAAGGTTTCCCTGATGCTAGCGAAGGAGAGAAAATCAAGTTTTAACGCGAACATAGGTGAATTCTGTTCTGTTATTTTTGCCTTTTACTTGGATATGTTTCGAATCCAAGCATATGCGATTATAAAGTGCAAATTTTTGGTGTACACGGCGTACAAGAAATGTCCTTTCGACTTTCGACTTTCTTTTAGTTATTTTAACAAATAAAGTTTCATGAATTGAAGTGTGGATCTTTCAACTTTGAGTCACATAAAACCCGCATGCAGCGTTCAGGTTAAATAATTATTGCTCGAGCCTTTCCCGGTAGTACTGTACTTTATTTTTTTTTTTTAAGTAATGATTTAGAAAGTTATAAAAAGGAAGCTTATATCCATCCGATTGATTTCATTAGAGAGTTTAAGCAAAGTCAAACAAATTCAAGCAACTTTTAACGAGCAAAACATTACTCTGCTGGTGCATAATGCACGCTTTTCTGTCGGATTTTTTTCCGTCGCTGCATGACTAAAAATCTTCTTATATTTTATTACTACAAATGAAATTATCAGATTACCGCCAGTATATCTACATCCTGCAGCTGAAGAAACAACAAAATGTGCATGTATCGTTTGTTTTTTTAACATTATGTAAATCATACTCTTCAATAGAAGCCTGTAAAAATCACCCCCATTGAATAGATGGCCTTGTCTTCTCTTCTCCCAGGGGATTTCATGTTAGCATTTGGTCAATTTAGTACCATATTGACCCAAGCTCTACTTCAACTTAATAAACCTTTTTCACATGACGCTTGGCCAGGCCTGTGGGAGTTAGCCTCTTTTCTTGCGTAATCGCTTTCTTTTGGTCTACTATTCAAGAAGCTTTATAGTTGTTAACTATTCTTATTAGTAGAGTACGCATGTACTGAGCTGAAATTTTGTGTTATTTTTAGATCAAACCATTTGGTGTAAACCCAAGTGAGATCACAGCCGGTGATGAAAAAGCTATTTTATCTTTGCTCTGGCAAATCATCCGCTGGTGTCAGGTATAAAGTTACTTGAATTTGTATCTTTAAAAATAGCTTTACTGTCTAACAACTCTTTTCTTGGCCTCCAAATTGCCTCCCAAGTCTGAGTACCTCTCTGACCGGTCTTGTTTACTTCGCTTCATGTAAGGGAACCCAGATTCCAGAATCAGGGAAATTTTTGCTTGTGGAATCCGGAATACTGGGCTTTGCAATCCGGAACACATCTCAAGGATTCTGGAATATCACTAATTATAGGAATCCAGAATACAAGTTCCTCTGACAAAGACTGGAATTCAGTACCTTGAATCTGGAACCTACGGCATAGAATCAAGAATTCAAGACTGTATTGGTTTCCTTTACATGAGGATCCCTACTGATAAAGACCGCTTCAATCTTTATCGGCTGTTCTTTAATTACCTAATCTTTTCTATCAAGATAACAGAGGTGATAAAACCAGACCCCATGGATTATGATGAAGACAAGAAGTTGATAACTTGGTGTCAGGAACGTATCAAGGGGTGTGTACAGTGCTTCTATATCGCTGTAACTGTCCTAGTCATTTGAAGTATATGTATGTATGTATAGGTAGAGTATGGTCGATCAGGTGAGGGTTGTACTGAATAGGACTGTAGTCGACAGTGACTGACGTTTTGACAACCTGTACGGTAGTCATCTTCAGAGTCAAAGTGAGTTGTATCACGTTCATTGATGGTATTAAACTCTGGTTGTTGACCTGATTGGTCAATTAAGTCACAATTTTATTGGTCGTCTGTCAGTTAAGCTGTGATGTTATTAGCTATGAAAACTCTATTAAAATGTCATAGTGGTGCGTTTCGATCCGTCTATTGTCACAGTTTAACGGTCGTTTAACTAATGCACGAGTTAAGTTAGCCTGTACACAGACGTTGTTATATTTTTCTTTTTGTTCTTTACCCCTTGGGCTGCCAGTCAATAAATCCCCCGCGGTTTTTATTTTTTATCACTCGCGCTCGACGGACTTAGAAGAGAAAATAAAGGGTCTGTGAACAGGCTACTCTTAAGTAAAGCTGTTTTAGTATGGCTGTGCTACATTGTTACATGAACTATTTGGAGATATACATTAAATTCTTCAGCCGTATGTTATGAAGCACAATCCACACTAGTTAACATCAACGTAATTTACCGATCAAGGTAGTGACGTAGGTTCTTTAATTTAGGATAAGTTTTTCTATGATCAATAACAGAAACAGCAATGTGCACATCAGTAACCTGACCACCGACTGGAAGGATGGTTTGGCATTCAACATTCTTCTTCATTCCTTCAAGTAAGTCAACACTGAAAAAGCTCTTGATCTCCCTACCACCTTATCTCCAGTCATCATCTAACACCAGCGAGGAAGCCGGAACGACCAATAGCTGATTTTAATTTTTTTTTCACATGACATCAGAATTCCTTTTTAGGTCATCCTTGTCATAAAAGCTTTGGCCCCTTTAGAGGAATAATCCGCAGCTGAGGCTGTCGAAATTATTTCCAATCTAAGAAGTGAGACACAGGTGTGCGTAACAAAATCAATGGTTATTCATTCAAAATAATTTCCATTTCTCAATTGCCTCAATCCCTCGGCTGATTCTTCGTAACCTGTAATATACGGTAAAGTGACGTCAATAGTGCTAATATCGTCCGAAAAGGAAATGTCAAGCGAGAAGCCCTGGGGACGAAGTTGTTAGCTCACACGAATTGTGTCCTAAGTGTCCAAATGAAATCCAGTTTCACCATTTTGCACGACGCTAGTCTTACAACTTGAAAGACTCCCTACCGAACACACAACTGGTAATTATTGTTTTATAACTCGCACGAGGTTTACTACTTGAATCTAATTTTAATAGCTGAACATGTAGTGAATATTGGACAGGTCTGGACACGACTGCCTCAATCACATAACGGTGCGCAGTTCCTGTCATAGTTCTAGACTGGTAAAGGAGCTCTAGTTCTCTTGCTCAAAAAGGGTTTTTCCTTTTTCTACCACAAAGGTTAGCGGTACTAGTAGAATTTTACGAGTGAAGGTGCGTTATTTTGTTTGTTTGTTCTATTTTTCCCAGTCCTTCTCTGTTTGATCTTGATACGATCAGTTCAAAGGACGAAATGAGTCGTCGTGCTCATGCGATAAACCTGGCGACTACTGAATATGGCGTGCCGGCTATTTTCGACCCTGAAGGTAAGATTGGCAATTGAGGCATCTTTAGTTAAATTCCTGTTATAAGAAGGGTTTTTCCATTTATAATTTATTAAGCTTTTCCACTAAAACATATGCACCGAAGCAATTTTAATTAATTGATCTTCAGGGGCCGTTTTACATAATGTATTTTTTGGATTTTTCTTCGTCGAGCATTTCAAAGTTTTGATGAGAAGAAGGTTCTTCAAGTTTTTAAATAGTCAGTACACAAATACCAATTTTACTTAAAGAACCCTTGCAAATTGTATATATTACGTTTGTTCTTATTTCTTTGTGCAGATTTTGACAAGGATACTGCCGATAAGAATCTTATTACGTTGTTCCTGTCATATTTGTATCAATTTGCGGCCAAAGGGAGCTCTGTTACGATCGTGGAAAAGGAAGAAATAAGTCCTTTCGAAACATCACTGATGACGGAGGTAACGCTAATCCGCTTCATTTAAATTTCAGTGGGTATTTAAAAATATTCGTATCAAACCCAGGTCCAGTCTGTTAGTTATTGTATATGTTCCTTTAAATAACTTTTACTGATTTTCTTAATCAAGCAAATCGGAAAACTTTGAGTATAAGTCAAGCCCTGCATTGACGCTGTACACGCTAAAAGTCCCGCGTCAAAATTGTTATCTGGATCAAACTACGACAGTGTAGTTAGGTGCAGTTACTACCGTGGCATTTCGAACTTGTATCTTTTATTTATTTATTTATTTTTTTAATTAAGTTAAATAACAAAGCAAATTCACAACTACTTTTCTTCTTTCCATGGTCAATATCTAATTGTGATTACTCTTGGGCCAGGAATATGGTTTCAAGACAATCACGACACACCATGAAACGTCGCGTTTAGTCAACACTACAGTTGACTTTAAAACAATCACACAAGCTGGAGAAAAGGATCAAGACGATGTATTTCACGACTTTAAACTAGGCAAAGAATCTGGACAAAAAACACTGCTCTATACTTCGGCTTTCCCTCAAGGCGTAAGTGTTGAGCAGGTAAGATAAGTGAAGCACGTTACTTAAGATTTTGTGGCCGAACGAAACACAAACGTAATTGAGTGAAAGCTATATACCCAGCTTAGTTGTCTATAAACCGCCATTGGAGCTTTTTAGCTGGCGCGTTCTAAAGATTCTCTTTAGCAAGATTGTGACATGTGACCCACACACTTGTTAAAAAAAAAAAGAAGAAAAAGAAAAAAAAAATGGATCGCTCGAATTACATCCTGCTGTTTATCAAGTGCCAAAAGGGATCACGAGCTCATGTACAACTTATATCCCTCTAGAGCAAATCTAGAGCACCCAGGTAAATCTGTCATCGGGTTGGGGCGTCATCGCTCTTCTTACAAGAACTTGTTTTCCCTCCTTTTCTCTTTCTCTTATTCTTTATATACGCCCATTTTTTTCTACTAGTGGAAACACTCAGATAGAGTGCAACTTCTTTTAATTCTCTAGCTGCGAGCAAAACTAACAAAAAGAGTAATGGCCAACCCAATTAAGAATGCAGAAGTAAAAGCTTATTGTTATGCTGTTGGATCCGGTGCTTTCCATTCATTTCAAATAAAGCATCATCCTGTACTTTTTTTAATTTGCCTATACACTTGCAAACGCGTTCGTACACTTTCACGTTGCTGATACTTTTTAAAAGACAGTCACTTCATTTCTTTAATATTTTCAGAGAAGACCTTTTGTTGTGTCTCCATTTCCAAGACAGTCAGGAGGCTCCTCCAGAGCTTCGAGCGGTGCATCCAGCCCTATATCCAAAGATTCAGACCCCAAGGTACACTGCAGTGAAAAATTTTGCTTGACAGAATTACTTCAGTGCACGTGGGCTCTGAGCGAGTGGAAGTGCGCTTTGAGCAAGTAAAGTTGTCGTAACTCTTTTTTACTTTTCCTTCCCGCCTCGATTAGCTACAGGCTATTTTGGGGGCAAGGATCAATTATGGCATGTATTCAATGCATTTAATAAACTTGAACTTGAACTCTTTGCTACTCGTCTGCCGCAGTTAATGTTACTCTTATTTATTGGTAGTTTATAGATTTTTTTGAAAGACATCGGCATTTGAGCATTACTTCGTTTTTGTCAGTTATAACAGAGATAAACTTTTTTGCGGCCTACTTTTCTTCTAGGAACTGGAATTGGAAATTCACAAGTTAGCACGACCCCTTGATACTTTAGGAGAGGGAAGTTATAGTTACACTGTTACACAAACCAGGCGAATTGTGACAAATGGAAGTGAAAGGAGTTCTTCAACAACTACATACAAGGTATCTATCTTTCGCTTTCATGACCAATTTATTCAAAAGTGGTTTTACTTTCAATTATGTATCCTTAATTACGCATATCAAAAATATTTTAAGACATCATAACGCTTAAAAATTCCTGACCCATGTTCCCTATTTCATTTCTTTAACCAATTTTATACCACCTCTTCCTATATAGGACCTATAAGGTCTTATAAAAACGTTTCTTTTACCTGACAATACGTAGATATTTAAGTCCAAAGATATTACCACATGTATCAGCGACTCTGAGACCCCTTATACAGTAAAAACCTGCGTATAAGAATCTACTGGCTTAAGAACCTGCTGCCAAAAATATTGTTATTATATTATATTGTTTCTTTATCCGTGTTGTCTAAAGTATTAAGCTTAGATTAATTGTCATACCCTCATATTTGGAATATAGAGAAAGAGAAAGACAGAGAAAACGAGAAACTACGCGACAGGCTAGCGAAACTCAACAAGAAAAATGGCGACATGAAGCTAGAGCAAGCGATAAAAAAAACAAAGTAGACGAATTTCGTAGGAGGGGCAACATTTACATTTTGTAGCGGCGGTGAGAAAATAAGAAATGCTAGCAGCCAACAAGGTGAAAAAAGAGCAGCACTGGAAATAAAGCAAAAAGGAATACAAGCAACAAAATTTTTTTGTGAGCACATACAACAATTTTTCCATAAAACGTGTAATGAGGAAGTTTCACGATGCAACAACAACGAAAAAGAAATGTAAAGTTGTTTTTTTTTGCTAATCAGATTTATTGTTTCTTTGGCCGTTCTCGTTGCCGTCGCCGTTTAGTATTACACGATTTTATTTTTTGAGTAAATTATTAGTATATTAACGAGAGCATCGCTTTTATCCCCGGTTAAATGTGTATATTAGAAATTAAGAACCTGCAGGGGCTAAATTGCCAATAACTAAAACAAAATACAAGAACTATTTTGCTAGTTCTTCCACGCGGGTTTTTACTGTAGATCTTCGGCCTAATGTGTTTTTCCTGGAGAAGTTAGAGTTTTATGTAATCAAGAAGCGATTATGCTTTATCATTTCTAAGACTCAATCTGAACTAATGCAGCCGCTTTTCTCAACTCATAGTTGCAACAATGCTAACAAGCCCTCTCTTCTTATCTACAGACACTGCAATCCTCAGCCGCAGATTCAATTACAGTCATGAAAGTAACGAACACTGACAAAGGTACCGACATACTGAGTGGAAGAGGAAGTAAAACAGATGCCAAGGTCACAGAACGTAGCGTGAAAGATACAGAGATAACTAACAATAGAACGGACCAGTTTCCTGACGTTTTTTCATGGGAGAAAGAAACAGAAGGAAGCATTAGGACCACTGTTCAAGCAAGCAGAGAAACAATGGACAAGAAAATAAATGAAAAGGAAAAGGAGAACGTGGGAAAAACAATTAACGTACGTATGAACTGTTGTAGAGATGTACAATCCCCGTTTATGTCATCTAAACAAATTCTCCAGTCTTCCCCAAAATCTCACCTCTTTTTTGTATTTGTGAGGAAGAAAAATGGTCTGTCTTCTATTTTTAACTCCAGAGACATTGATAGTGAAGAGAAAAAGAAAAGTCAAAAATTGAAATTTGTAACCATGATGTCTCTACAACGATGTGAAGTCTATTTCAGTGTTTGTTCGATCTTTCACGGGTTAATCTGCATGCTAATGTCAGAGAGTTGGTTGAGCGCGCACTAAAGAAATAATGGGAGATATGCTGTTATCATCCGTTAGGGTGGGTTTCTACTGCCGCGTAATTTTTACGTGCGTAAATAAGATGGAGGCAATGTATGGAAGGTCTCGCGTACTCGGGAAAATTGAACCTCCCTCAACTTTACTTTTACGCGCGGCCTTTCATACATTGCTTTTATTTTATGTACGCGCGTAAATAAAATAGAGACGATGTATGGAAGGTCACGCGTAAAAGTAAAAGTTGACGCTCACTCAACTTTCCCCGTTTACGCTTGGCATACATTGCCTCTATTTCATTTACGCTCGTATATTTTATTTGCTTTCGAACGGAAAATTACGCCACAATGGAAATCAACCCTTGGAAAAAACGTTCGGCCTATCAGAACTCGCAAGCGAGCAGGATTTCGTGAAATAGTTGATAACGCTATTGAGACAATGGATAATTATGATTTTAAGCGTATTGAATGTCAGAGTACGTCTTTCTTTAAATAAAATTAAAAGAGAAAAATATGCTCTTCTTGGCTCGTGATAAGATTACCGTAGCTACATATACCACCAGATTGTTCAAAATGCGATTGTGATAACGATGAGAAATTTCAACTTCCAGGAGCCCGAAAAAAAGGTTCCAAACTTAACATTGTCCACTACGGACACAGGAGAAGGGAGTTATGCCTATTCTGTAACCCAAACAAGTAAAATCATCACAAGCTCAGGAGAAGGGGTTCATTCTACAACATCTAACAAGGTATGTTTTCCTTTATTGGGAAATTCCAGTTCCAGCGTTGAAAATATATTTTAAAACAATGGTCCATAGTTTCCAGCCATCTTTTCCACGGAAAAAAGGAGGACTAAGTTACTTTTTCAACTTCAGACATAACAATCCTCATTGAGTGACTCAAAAACTTTGATGCAAGTAACAATTGGCGCAGTTGCGAATGGAAATAGCGACAAGGCGGCCAGGATGGTTCACAGTGTAGCGACGAATGGCGGCACACTCTGACATCAGATTAAAACAACAACTTAAATGTTTAATCTTACACGAGGCGTGTCGTACAAAATAACCATCGCAAGTATCAATTAGTTAAACAGTGAAAGAAATCGATTAACGCGACGGAAACCTTAACAGAACAGGTTAATAAACACCTTGAGGCTATTTCACGGTGGCCTCTTGCATGGCGATCACTAGGCTCTAGTGTGCATTCTCCAAAAAAAAAAATCTAAACTCGCAACAAATTGGCCTGCTCCCAATGTATGGTAGAGCACTGCAGCACTAACGTTACTAATATTTGACTTGCTAATATTTGACTTAAAAAGACAGATGCATTGCAGATTCCAATACCGCTGACGTCCCGAAATTCTTTTCGTGTTTATTTGCAATTGCTTAAATTGCAAAAACCACTACGACGATCATATCTTCATTAAAACATGTGTTTCTCCGCAGTTCACGTCACCTTCAATAAAGTGTGAGTTTCAGGACAGGTATAGAAGGAAGTGCAAAAAATCATCCTAATATGGAACAAATTCCTGTCACTCTTCATCACTTGATTTTGAAAAAGCCGTGGTTAGTCTGGAATTGTGGAGTCATTCATTGAGAAATAGAATTTTTGGAAGTTTATTTACTTGCATGGATAATAGGCCCCTTTGCACCAAAATCAGCATCAAACAAATTTTTAACCAGTGAAAGATCTTCTGACTTCTTCACTTTAAGACCATTATTAAGTCAAAAGAATTGATAAGCACTCTACTCTTCTTCTTCTTCTTCTTCTTCTTCTTCTTCTTCCGTGATAAAGTATTGGGGATGTATTAAGTAAAACGATAACCGCATACAAGAAGTCAAAGTTCTCGAGACAAAAAAGAAAACTGTTGTTGGCACAACTTTTATGTTACTATTATTTGACCTAAAACAGCAGGCGCATTGCGGATCATAACCCTTTTCTAAAAGAAAATGTCTTACACGCTCACTTGATTAATATCAATTCCGGAGAAAAGAACTATACAGGCTTTGATCCGCTTATATCTGGCGGAACTCTGATTCAAAAGGAAAAGAGCTTTTTTTTCCTTCCTTTCCTACCCATCATCTTATCTCACACAAAAACCAAAAAGTAGAATGGCAAATCCCAAAGGATAACAACTCCGTGAAAGATAATTATAACCAATGAAAACTTCCTCTGTCTTTGAAGGCGTATTCTAATTTTTCTTCCAGGACCCTAAAGAGGACTCTCTTAAGTTAAAATCGCCTTCACAGATCTCAGGAGAAGATAGTGGCAGATACACGGTGACTAAGACCAGAAGAATCATCACATCAGGAGGACAAGTTAGTTCCACTGCTAATGACGAGGAAATTTCTGACTTTCTTATCAGCTTCTATATATACTACATTAGCTTTCTATTAACGCCCTTAAGAAGAACTAAACTAATAAATACAATAAACTATTCAGAGTAACATACTAAAGCCTAAAGAATCATGTTAGACGTAGAGAACTGGCCAACTAAATTCCCATTGCACTTATTTCAACCGAACTCTTTCAATTCGTAAAATGTTGACATATTTGTTGTCTTGTCTTGTGTTCACGTCCTCCGTAAAACGTGAAAAACGTGAAAGAAATGTACAAAAAAGTGTGATGCACGTGCAAAGTTGTTTTTTGCCAATCTAAGCCTATTAGCATTGCTTTTTTGCCGTTCTCGTTGTCGTTACTGTCGTCATCGTCGTTGCTTCAGTTCCCTATTGTTTATAAACGTGTTTGCTTTGTAAAGGACTTCAAGAAGACAACTACTTTGTTTGAAAGAAAGTAGTTGTCTTGTTCACGTCCTCTACAAAACCCTTGAAATTAGGCACTTGGTCACGTCGTTGTTGTTGAAATGTGCAAAAAAACCGGGATGTATGTGCAAAGTTGTTGTTTTGCAAATCTTAGGCCCTGTTCACACTACTGCGTTTTCAAAAGTATGCGTTTTCGTTGTCATTGACAACGTGTCGATTGATTTGTATCCACACTAACCTGTTGATGCGTTTTCGACTTTCCGTATTAAAACGTTCGAAAACGATAGGGTTGCACGTTAAGAAGTAAGTTGAACCATGAGCGCATCCTAGAATCACGCGCCTGCGATATTTCCTCTGTCTCTAATTCTTTTCCAGGACCAAGAAGAAAGCTTTCTTAAGTTAAAATCGTCTTCACAGATCTCAGGAGAAGAGAGTGGTAGATACACGGTGACTCGTACCAGAAGAGTCATTACAAGTTCAGGAGGACAGGTTAGTTCCTCTACTAATGACAAGGAAATAGCTGACTTTCTTATCAGCTTCTATGTATACCATATTCGCGCTTGTCAACGCCACCCTTAAAAAAGAAATAACACTAATAATACATATATCTATTCAGAGTAACATACTAAGGCCTAAGAATCACGTTAGACGTATAACATGCCAACTAAATTCCTTTAACAGAAAAACATGCGCCCCTTTTTCTGACTGGAATAAAAAGCAGATCTTCCTTTCCAGAGTGTTTTGGAACCTGAGATGTTTAAAGGCAGCGTAATAATATGGCATAAACTCTGTCAATTTAGCCACACACATTTAATATCTTACATTTTAAAATCAACAGACCCTTCAATCTTCAGCTGAAAATTCTCAAACCGTCATGAAAACAAGAGATAGTATACATAAAGACATTCTAGGTAAACAAGGAGATGAAACGAATGCCAAATACAGAGAAGTGACATTGAAAGACACACCTACATCAAGCAACAACATAAAAGAAAGTCAGCAGACACTGTTTCTGAGGGAAGATGAAAATAAGCAGAAGGCTAAAATTACTGTTCACACAACCGAAGAGGCAATGACAACTAACAAAGAGGGCACGCCCGTAAGTGTAAAGTGTTGTTATGATAATGCGTGATCTTTTTATATACTAGACTTTTTGGGCGCTTTAGTCATGTCGTTAATTCCCTTTACGTTTGACTGATTTTTTGGGTTAGACGTCCTAACTTAGCAATAGTGAGCTTAAGCAACTAAGACGGCGGTGGTTACGAAAATGTCACTTTATAAAAAGTGAAGTCGATTTGCTTCAAACTTTGTCGCACTTATTCCAACCGAACTCTTTCAATTCGTCAGATGTTGACAAATTTGTTCTGGGGTTTAATTCTAAAAGACTGTATCGAATTTCAGGAAAAGAAAAGAACGTCGTTGTCTTGTGTTCACGTTGTCTTCAAAACGTGAACTTAGACCTCATTTTCACGTCGCAGTCTTGCAGTGACGGTAAAGAAATGTATAAAAAAGTGTGATGTACGTGGAAAGTCGTTTTTTGCCAGTCTAAGCCTATTAGCATTGCTTTTTTGCCATTCTCGTTGCCGTTACTGTCGTCGTCGCCGTTGCTTAAGCTCCCTATTGTTTATAAAAGTGTCTGCTTTGTAAAAGGCGTTAACAAGGCAAAACAGTATAACAACTACTTTCTTTGAAAGAAAGTAGTTGTTTTGTTCTCGTCCATTACGGGAAAAGACAACAGCTTACTACTTTTTTGTCTTGTTCACGTCCTTTACAAAACCCGTGAAATTAGACACTTAATCACGTCGTTGTTGTTGCAACGTACAAAAAACCGTGATGCACTTGCAAAGTTGTTGTTTTGCTAAAATAAGGACCTGTCCACACTAATGTGTTTTCAAAAATGTGCTTTTTCGTTGTCATCGCAACGCGTCGATTAATTTGCATCCACAATTCGGCTTTGAAGCGTTTTCCATTGACTATTTTAAGACGTTCGAGAACGGTATAGTTGCATGTTGAGAAGTAAGTTGAACCATGTGCGCATGCTACAATCACGCGCCTGCGACATTTCCTCTGTGTTTGAAGGCGTATTCTAATTTTTCTTCCAGTATCATAAAGAGGACTTTCTTCAGTTAAAATCGCCTTCAGGAGAAGAGAGTGGCAGATACACGGTGACTCAGACCAGAAGGATCATCACAAATTCAAAAGTACAAGTTAGTTCCACTACTAATGACGAGAAAATATTTGACTTTCGTATTAACTTCTATATATACCAGATTCGCGCTCTATTAACCCCCTTAAGAAGAAATAAAACTAATACTAGTTATAGGTATCGTTAAGTGCCAAGAGGGGCGGTGCGGTGCCCCTAGGCCATAAAAACAAAGGGAAAAAACGATCCGACAAAAAAGAAAAAAAAACTAGGATAACCTACAGGGTAAAAAGACGGCCAAAATGGGAGGGGGCACTTCCATACTGAGCCAGCCCGCCAACTTCGCCAGGGAATCGAAATCCGCCTCCTGACTAGTTAAAATACTACTTAAAGACTGTTTGGCTTGGCTTCGCAAACGAGGATCAGGAAGGTTGTTGTCTATGCCGACTGCGGGCCCGTTCGTGGCTGAGGAGGCCGATGCGAGGCAGGCAGGTCCTCATGCAGTGTCGGCACATGTAGGTCAGGTCTGGGTTTTCAGTGGTGAAAGCAGCTTGAGCTTTCCTCCTCTGTTGTTTGTCTTTGAGGGAGTCTCTCCGGTTCTCTTCAAACTGTGAAGCAAACTGTGGAGAACTGCCTGAAATTTAGCTTCCACTTCAGCTGAGCGGAGGTCGCTGACAATGCGTTTTTTCCCTCTGGGACCACTCTTCTTTGGTTTTGGTTTAAACTGAAGGTTGGGTTTGTAGCGGACAAGGCGTTGATCTGTATGACACTCTGCGCTGGGCATAACTCTGGTGTGTAAGACATCTTTCAGGTCAGATCGGCGCACTAAAACAAAGTCGAGGAGACGCCAGAGTTTCGACCGAGGATGCATCCAGGTTGTTTTCAAATTGTCTCTTTGCTGGAAGATCGTGCTTGTAATGGTGAGTTGTTGCTCCGAGCAGAACTCTAGCAGTAGGCGCCCGTTGTCGTTGCAGTTTCCAACGCCATGTCTCCCAAGGACTCCTTTCCAGGCTTCAGTGTCTCGACCAACTCTGGCGTTGAAGTCACCAAGGATCAGTACCTTGTCGGCTGCGGGGGTGCTTTGCAGTAGCCTCCGAAGGTCGAAGTAGAATCGTTCCTTTTCTGCAGGTTCTGCCCGAAGAGTAGGGGAGCAAACGCTGAAGAGTGTGAGGTGTTGTTCGATGTTCAGCGGAAGACGCATGGAGGCGATGCCATCCGAGTGACGTGAGGGCAAAGTTTCAAGTTTGGAGACGATGGAGGTCCTCACCGTGAAACCTACACCTGAAAGACGTTTCTCAGTTGACGGTTTGCCAGACCTGTAGATGGTGTAACCGGCACCCTTTTCTTTCAGGCAGCCCTCTTCTGGGAAGCGAACTTTACTGAGAGCTGCGATGTCGACATCGAATCGTGATAATTCGTGTGCAACGAGAGCCGAGCGGCTTTCTGGACGACTGCTGTCGGCTAAGTCGAGCATGGCCTTACTCTTCCAGCATGCGACTTTCAAACCCTTGTAGTCCTTCGGTAAGGATTTCCTTTGTCTCCTTCCACTTGACTTATGATTTGATTCTGTTTCTGTTCGGCCGCTTGAGAAGATGCCCGTTGACGGCCGCCAACTGAGTATAAAGGAGACGAGCTTAACCACCTGTATTCAGGATTGAGACTGCGGCTTCCAGTGACATCTTCCACCTGCCGTTTTCGCCCCTTTCCCATCCCTAAAGGACTTGGTGGTTGTGGTCGTAGACATGGACGTGGACAAGCCCTTTGGCCTGCGCTGCGGAGTTTTTAGTTGGAGTACAGTGCGCCCAAACTGGCCCCACCCTTTACAGCCGAAGTCCATCCGTCACGGCGTAGCAAGCTGGGACGGTAGCAGCGAAATCGACGGGTCGTAGGTTTTACATCAGAGTTTCTCTCTCCTAGGCGGGTAGCCGACCAACGTTGACGAGTAATATCATTGACTTTATTTGATCTTTCAGTACTACTATTGCTTTCATTATTTCCATCTAATTCAGCAGAATTGGCAACAAGAGAGTTAAACTCTTGGCTGCTTGTAAAACAAATTTTGAAAGTAGGGCTTGGAGCAGAATTACTCTTTTTGGCAGGAGAGCCCTTGTCTTCCCTACTCTTTTAGAGGCCCTTTGGTTGAACTCCGCATCAGAAGAATCACCACTGAGAGCGACTAAGTCCGGCAGAATCGACTGACTCTGCAGTAGATCGAGCTCGTTATCCTTAAGAAGCTGAGAGTGAGGAGAATCATGAGAGACACTGGCCTCCGCAGACTGCAAAGATGAGGCCAGAGTCTCCTGCTGACCCGGCAAAGGTACAATTCCGAGCAAAGTGCCCGGTTTTCCTACACTTTGTGCACTTGTCCTTGTTAGGGCAGTTTGCCGATCTGTGGTCCTTAACGGAACAAAGATTGCAAACCAGGGGTTGACCACGATACCACAAACGACATAAATACCCGTCCACCATCAGAAAGCGGGGTAATACCCCAGAAAAGGCAACATCAACAAGCCTGGTACCATTAAAGATGTTTTGATTGGAAAGAAAAGTCTGCTTTTTGACAGACTTGACTGCACCATAGACCTCGAAAGCAACCTCCAAGGATATGTCATCCTCCTAGTAAAATCGAAAACGTGCACGCGCATAATAGGGGGGCCGCCCTCCAAGATAGAGCACCACAAACCGAAAAGATGCTTTCCCGTAAACCATTTGGCCGCCCGAAAGAGCTCTGGAGAGGCGAAGGTAACACGGACGACCTCGTACGCAACCTGGAGAGCCTTAACGTCAAGGCCGGCGAGAACTCGAAGAACTTTGGTCATGACCTCTTCTTTGCTTTTGTCAGCCACCTTGCGGCCGACCTGCAAACTAATGGTTTTTGGTTGGCGCATGATAACAAAAGTGAAGAAGCAAAAAGGCAAAAGCGAAAAAGCGAAGATGCAAAAAGGCAAAAAGGCAAAAAGGCAAAAAAGCCAAAAGCAAAAAAAAAAAGGAAAAAAGAAGGATGATTAGAGTCAAGGGACGCTTATCCACACGGTAAAAATGAAAATATAACAATCGGTGGCAGAAGGACACCAATTGTAAGAAAATAAACAGTTAATGTCGAAGACACCAACTGAAACCACAAAAAAAAAACACAGAAAGGTAAATTAGAGTCCAAAGGACACCAATCTACAATAAAGAAGCAATTAGTGGAAGGAAGACACTAATTGCAAGAAAAAAATATGCAATTGGCGTAAAAACGCTGATTGCTAGAGCAGAGGACCAAGTAATTTGTGCCCAAAAGAAGCAAAAGAAACTTGCGACACAAATTAAAAGCTATATACAGCACAGCAAAAACAACTAACAAGCCAGAAAAACTAAGTAAGAGAAAAAATAAGAAAAGGGAAAAACTTACTAAAAGTTAAGCCCCGACGGAGGTGGAACCAAAAGTGACGGGCGTCCATATCCACTCAGGAGAGAAAACGGAAAAGAGCCCAAAGCCACTCACCAAGCGTGACCCAGTTGGAAAGACTACCAAGTAAGAGGCAGCACAGGAAACCAGGAACAAACAGGAGCCGGTGTCCAAAAGGAAATACACACGCCTCGAAAGTCGCAGCAATACTCACCGCAAGGACAAGCCGAATCTATTCCCAAACGGGTAGAATTCCGCGCCGCGAGCCTGGGGAAAACCCGTGTAAAAAAGACACTTCTCTGCCAAGGCGAGTCCTTTAAGTGCCAGCTCCATATTACACATGTGTTGGCTGGAAACTTCACGGCAGTTCTCACATGACATGCGCGGCGAGGGCGCGAGGCTGCTCGTTGGAATATGCATTAAATTATTCAGAGTATTATGCATCACGACAGACGTTAAACAGGCCGACTAAATTGCTTTGTTAAGTTCGATCCGTTAATATTTATTTCAGCATTGTGAAAACAATGTACAGAAACAATTATCGCCTTTGCTTGTCAAACCGTCATGAAAACAACAGATGGTAGAGATAAAGACATTCTTGATAAACAAGGAGTTGAAACGGATACCAAATACAGAAAAGAGACATTGAAAGATACTTCTATATCAAGCAACAACGTAAAAGAAAGTCAACAGATACTATTCACGAGGGACGACGAAAATAAGCAGAAGCTTAAAATCACTGTCCAGACAATAGAAAAGGCAATGACAACTAACAAAGAGCGCATGCCCGTAAGTGTTTAGTGTGGTTATAATAAGGCGTGATCCTTTTATAAACTAGATATTCTTAGCGCTTTAGTCATGTTGTTCCTTCCCTTTACTTTTGACTAATATCTTGAGTTAGACGTCCTAACTTAGCAATAGTGAGCTTAAGCAACAAAGACGGCAGTGTTTACGAAAACATCAGTTTATGAAAAGTGAATTCGATTTCCTTTAAACATCATCGCACTTATTCCAACCGAACTCTTTAAATTTGGCAAATGTTGGCAAATTTGTTCTGGGGTTAAATTCTAAAAGACTCACTGTATCGAGTTTAAGGACAATGAAAAGAAAGTCTTTGTCTTGTGTTGACGTTCTCCACAAAAAGAGAATTTAAGCCCCATTTTCACGTTGCAGTCTTTCTGTGACGGCAAAGAAATGTACAAAAAAAGCGTGATGCGCGTACAAAGTTTTTTTTGCCAATGTAAGCCTATTAGTATTGTTTTTTGCCGTTCTCGTTGCCGTTAATGTCGTCGTAGTCGTTTCTTAACTTCCCTTTTGTTCATAAACGTGTTTGAAAAGGACGTTAACAAGACGACTTTTTTCTTTGAAAGAAATTCACGTCTTTTACAAAACCCGTGAAATTAGTCACTTAGTCAATGTACAAGAAACCGTGATGTACGTGCTAAATTGTTGTTTTGCTAATATAAAGGCCCTCTCCACATAATGCGTTTTCAAAAGTATGCGTTTTCGTTGTCATCGACAACGCGTCGATTGATTTGCCTCCACACTAACATTTTGATGCGTTTTCTAATCTCCCTACGAAGAAGTTCGAAAACGACAGAGTTGCACTTTGAGAAGTAACTTTTGAACCATATGCGCATCCTACAATCACACGCCTGCCATATTTCGTCTGTCTCTGAAGGCGTACTCTAATTATTCTTTCAGGACCCTAAACAGGGCTTTCTTAAGTTAAATTCGCCTTCAGGAGAAGAGAGTGGCAGATACACGGTGACTCAGACTAGAAGAATCATCACAAATTCAGGAGGACAAGTTAGTTCCACTACTAACGAGGAAATATCTGATTTTCTTATCAGCTTCTATATATACCAGATTCGCGCTTTAATTAACGCCCTTAAGAAGAAATAACACTGATGATACATTAATCTATTCAAAGTAACATACTAAGGCCTAAAGAATCAAGTTAGACGTAGAAGAGGCCAACTAAATTCCTTTGCTAACTTCGTTAAGCAAGTTCGATCTCTTTGATATTGTGAAAAGAATTCACAGAAACATGTGCCTCTGCTTGTGACTGGAATAAAAAGCAGGTCTTCCTTTCCAGAATGTTTTGGTGCTATTGTTTAACCTGAGATGTTTGAAGGATGTGTAATAATATAGCATAAACTGTGTCAATTTAGCCACACCAAGAGAGGATGAAGGGGACAGAGAAGGCATCTCCCATACACACCCTATTCCATGGGTAATTCGTCTCGAGTTATTTTTAGAATCTGGATAAAGTTACCTGCCCGCTGCGTGGATGTTTCGTGGAGGTTTCGCATGACTAAACGCCATGCAAAACATGTCGGGCGAAAGGCAATGAAAGCGTAAAGAGATCGAGAGCATTTCTGAATATTGAAGCGAAATGACTCGGCGCTCACCTGGGAAAAAGGAATCGCTCGACTCTTTGACAACCCGTGAAATCAGTTTAACTCGAAGTTATCGTAACCTCAGTGCTTTAATAAAATGAGAAATTTCGCCGATCTATTGAAAGCGGTCGTTTGTACAATAAAGCAAGTAGCAAGTAATATTCATGTACCTGTAATTAGTTTTACAAATTTGAACTTTATTGCAGTTTTTTTTTAAGTTGTTAAGCGCTGTTGATCAGTGAATGTAAATAGCGCTCTAGAAGTTATTAAATTTTTATTATTATAGGACGCCACGTGTTATTTTTGTTGAATAGTAAAAGACTAATAAAATAATAAATATCAAACCAGAAATTGCTCTCTTCAAACTGTAAATTATAAATGATCCTGAGAGAATATTCACTGTGTTAAGGATTTCCCTACTGTACTGTTAGCATTATACAAGAGAGGAAGGGCGATTCTTTTTTAATTTCCGTTTCGCTAACACAGCTTTAGCAGAAATCTCTCTTTAGTCGTTTTCGTCGACAAAACGTATAGCAATATTGCTCTCCGCGTCTTCCGCCATTTTTTTCTGCCTCAATTCGTGAACGACGCGTGGCTCTGAGCGTGGGTCATCCACGCGGAACACATTCGCGCTATGTGATTGGCTGTTGTCTAATCCCCCTTGGGATCTGTGGTCTTAAAAATAACTCGAGACGAATTACCTATAAGCTATGCAATAGGGTGTGTATGGGGGATGCCTTCTCTGTCCCCTTTATCCTCTCTTGGCCACACACATTTAATAACTTACATTTTTTAATCAACAGACCCTACAATCTTCAGCAGAAAATCTTAAAACCGTCATGAACACAACAGATGGTAGACATAAAGACATTCTAGATAAACAAGGAGTGAAAACGGATCTCAAATACAGAGAAGAGGCATTGGAAGATGCACCTACACCAGGCAACAACATAAAAGGAAGTCAGCAGACACTATTTCTGAGAGAAGATGAAAATAAGCAGAAGGCTAAAATCACTGTTCACACGACAGAAGAGGCAATGGCAACTAACAAGGAGCGCACGCCCGTAAGTGTCTGGTGTGGTTATGATAATGCGTGATCTTTTTATATACAGAGTGTCCCAGAAAGGTTCGCTCCTCTAATTTTATGCGTTATAACGTTTGATCAAAGCTTTATTCTTGCATAAAATTTATAGAAGGTGTTTATTACTCTATCGAGTGCATATACTCAGAATTTCAATAACTGGCATTCCCCCTTCGTTATTTTATCACATTCTGTAGCCGTTACAGCATGGAGTGAGATACAGCATGTTGAGCCACAAATCACTCTATTTTAAGCGGGAGCCACGTCTCGAACAACATTTTTTTAGTTTAAGCGTTTAGGCAGCCGGAAAAATATACTATATGAATTTATGAAAAAAAGATATTCATCCCAGCCCCTATTCACAGTAACACTTTTGTACCTCTTTACAAAAATGAGACGAGCTGGTCGTTGTTTTGCAGACTAAGCAGAGAATTTGTTGCCATCTTTGGGGCCTCTAACCTTCACTTTTCATGAAACTGCTTTAGACATGGCTTGCAAACTATTGTGAGAGCTATCTCGTCGAGTTGTCTCTTTTTTTATCTAACCTTCTTCAAAACTGTTTTAGCCGCTTTATTCAGGACTATCAGTCTTCCCTTTTTTTTTTGTCTTCAAAACCTTCATTTCTCGATGATCATTTCACCACAGAAAATTCGGATTTTTCCATTTTTTTATCAGTTACTTCTACTGATAAGCCGGTAAATGGAAGTAAACATGCTTATGCTGTCACGCAGCTGAACGCTTTTGCGTTTAGACGTTTTTTTCTTTCATGATATTCTCAAGAAAAAGGGAAGGAGTTTGAGAAAATCGGATTACACAATACAAAAAATATGTAGCGGGAAAATGTACTCGCGCACGCGCACCTTTGGCGCGGAAATAGACAAATCGAATATTAGAGTCACAAGATTGCACAACAAGTATAAAATATTAAATTGTATTGAAAGACACAACTTTTGTTTAAGGGATTTGCTTACCAATTCCAATCGTACAGTCTTATAAACTAGAGGAAGGAACTTTTGGGACACCCTGTGCTAGACACTTTTGGCGCTTTAGTCATGTTGTTACTTCCCTTTACTTTTGACTGGTATATTGGGTTGGACGTCCTAACACACAGGCGGCCCAAGCTCATTACATCAACGCGGACGTGACTCTTGCTTGCGAGCGGTGTTGTGTTACAAACTGTTATTTACGAAGGCTTGTATGGGATGTAAACGTTTTTTCTTAAAAAGAGAAAAAATGTTATGTTTTTAAATAAAATCGACTTACCTTATTGCCTTGTTGTATTCTTTGTTGTTTGCCCGCGTCTCAGGCCGTTTTGAAGCGTTTTCGGCGAGTTAGCGCTATTTTGGTGTCCCACTGCTAAAAGAAAGACAAGGCAGAACAGTGATTTCTGGAGTGTCCGTCACTCGAGGCGAATAATTGCGCTGGAAAATTACCCCTGGCCTCAATTCCTCCAGAAATTCAAAGCAGAGATGTTGCAGTTTCATGTCCATTCACTCGATTCGCAATTCGTCCCACAGATCGTTCACTAGCGATGCTTTTATCAATTGCTCGACCGGCTTCCGAAGTTCAAACTAGGCTTGTCCAAACTGCCGTAGACCCGTTCACCGATCGCATAGTATGTCGGGTAACTAAAATAATCCCGGCGAGGGTAGGCAGCGGCCTCCAGTCGACAAACAAACAAACCCGTTAACCCCGCTGGCTACCCTCGCTAGGCTTATTTTAGTTACTCGACATACTATGCGATCGGTGAACGGGTCCACGGCAGTTTGGACGAGCCTAGTTTGAAATTCGGAAGCCGGTCGAGCAATTGATAAAAGCATCGCTAGTGAACGATCTGTGGGAGGAATTGCGAATCGAGTGAATGGACATGGAACAGCAACATCTCTGCTTTGAATTTCTGGAGGAATTGAGGCCAGAGGTAATTTTCCAGCGGAATTATTCGCCTCAAGCGACGGACACTCCGGGAATCACTGTTCTGCCTTGTCTTTCTTTCAGCAGTGGAACACCAAAATAGTGCTAACTCGCCGAAAACGCTTTAAAACGGCCTGAGACGCCGGCAAACAACAAAGAATACAACAAGGCATAACATTTTTTCTTTCTTTTACGAAAAACTGTTTACATCCCATACAAGCCTTTGTAAATAACCGTTTGTAACACAACACCGCTCGCAAGCAAGAGTCACGTCCGCGTTGATGTAATGAGCTTGGGCCGCCTGTGCCTAACATAGAAAAAGTGAGCTTAAGCAACACAGACGGCGGTGGTTACGAAAACGTCACTTTACGAAAAGTGAATTCGATTTACTTCAAACTTTATCGCACTTATTCCAACCGAACTCTTTCAATTCATCAAATATTGGCAAATTTGTTCTGGGGTATAATTGTGATGCACGTACAAAGTTGTTTTTTTTGTTAATCTAAGCCTTTTTTAAAAACGTTTTTGCCGTTCATGTTGCCCTTGCTGTCGTGGTCGTCGTTGCTTCAGCTCCCTATTGTTTATAAACGTGTTTCCTTTTTTAAGGAGGTTAATAAGACAACTACTGTCTTGTTCACGTCCTTTACAAAACCCGTGAAATTAGACACTTAGTCACGACGTTGTTGTTGCAATGTACAAAAAAACCATGATGTACGTGCAAAGTTGTTGTTTTGTTAATCTAAGGCCCTGTCCACACTACTGCGTTTTCGAAAGTATGCGTTTCGTTTTCATCGACAACACATCAATTGATTTGCGTCCAATATACCGTTTTGATGCGTTTTTGACTGTCCATATTAGGGACTTTAAGATCCAACGACTCGGATGGCAACGACAACGTAAAAAAATCAATGGGTTTAATAAGCAATGACAACAACTTTGCCCGTGCATCACGCTTTTTTGTTCATTTCTTTCCCGTTTTTGCACGACTACGACGTTAAAATGCCTATTTTCGCTTTTTATGGAGGAAATAAACAAACAACGACTAACTTTTATCTCTCTTTTTGAACTTAGAGATACTCCTTAGAGATTCAGTTCCAGGGGGGTTCGCCTACATTTGACAAAATAAGTGGGTAGGAATAATTGCGATAAAGTCTGAAAAAACGCAAATTCACTTTTGAAGCGTCGTTCTCGTTGCCGTCGCGTCGTTGAATCTTTAAGTCCCTATTAAGAAGTTCGAAGTTCGAAAACAATAGAGTTGCACGTTGAGAAGTAAGTTAACCATGTGCGCATCCTGCAATCACGCGCCTGCGATATTTCCTCTGTCTCTAAAAGCGTATTCTAATTTTACCTGCAGGACCCTAAAGAGGACTTCCTTAAGTTAAAATCGCCTTCAGGCGAAGAAAGTGGCAGATACACGTTGAGTCAGACCAGAAGAATCATCACAAATTCGGGAGCACAGGTTAGTTCCACTAATAATGTAGAGGAAATATCTGACTTTCTTATTAGCTTCTACCTATACAAGATTCGAGCTCTATTAACGCCCTTAAGACGGAAATAAGACTAATGATACATTAAATTATTCACAGTAACAAACTGAGGCCTAAAGAATCAAATTGGACGAAAAACACGCCAACTACATTCCTTTGTTAACTTTATTAACCAAGTTCGATCCCTTTGACATCTAATTTAGCATTGTGAAAATAATTCACTGAAACATGAGCCTCTACTTGTGACTGGAATAAGAAGCAGGTCTTCCTTTACAGAATGTTTTGGTTCGACCTTAGTTTAACTGAGGTGTTTGAGGCAAGCTTAATAATATAGCATTAACTGTGTCAATTTAGCCACACGCATTTAAAACTTACATGTTTTAATCAATAGACCCTACGATCTTCAGCTGAAAATTCCCAAACCGTCATGAAAACAACAGATGTTAGAGATAAAGACATTCTAGATAAACAAGGAGTTGAAACGGATGGCAAAGACAGAGAAGAGGCATGGAAAGATGCACCTATATCAAGGAGAAGCATAAAAGGAAGTCAGCAGACACTATTTCCGAGGGAAGATCAAAATAAGCAGAAGGCTAAAATCACTGTTCACACAATAGAAGAGGCAATGACAACCAACGAAGAGCGCACGCCCGTAAGTGTTTGGTGTGCTTATGATAATGCGTGATCCTTTTGTATACGAGACTTTTTAGGCGTTTAGTCATGTTGTTACTTCCGTTTACTTTTGACTGGTATATTGGCTTAGAAGTCCTAACTTAGTAATAGTAAGCTTATGCAACAAAGACGGCATTATTAACTAAAACGCCACTTCAGTAAAGGTGATTCGAAGTTTATCGCACTTATTCCAACCGAACTCCTTCATTTCGTCAAATGTTGGCAAATTTGTTCTGAGGTTTAATTCTAAAAGACTTTATCGAAGTTGAGGAAAAGAAAAAGAAAGTCATTTCTTGTGTGTTTACGTTTCCCGCAAGACGTGAACTTAGGCCGCATTTTCACATTGCAGTCTTGCAGTGATAGCAAAGAAATGTACAAAAAAGCGTGATGCACGTGGAAAGTTGTTTTTTTGCCAATCTAAGCCTGTGAGTATTGCTTTTTTGCCGTTCATGTTGCTGTTACTATCGTCGTCGTTGTTTCTTAAGCTCCCTATTGTTCATAAACGTGTTTGCTTTGTAAATGACGTTAACACGACAATTACTTTCTTTGAAAGAAAGTAATTGTCTGCTTGACGTCTTTCACAAAAACCTTGAAATTACACGCTTAGTCACGTCGTTGTTGTTGCAATGTACAAAAACCGTGATGTAGAGTATTAACGGCCACAAAGGCAAATAAAACCGAATGCTTTATTCGTTAATCTGCTCTGCTCGACACCAAGTCAACTCACTCAGTCTACGCCTGCTCACACTGTTCAGTTCCCGTGTGTCCTGCGCGTACAACCGCTGTACGCTATGCACGACAACCTCTGTACACTACATTCTCTCTTCATTCGTACATACACTTACGTCAATGAAAATTACGCAAACAATATACTTACTTTCAACTTAAACAATCTTAGAATACAAAAAGGCAATCAACCAAGTCCTTGCCAAATGCGTTTTCGACT